ATATGTAAGATCATTTTTCTTGAATAACTGGTGTTTATTGCATGTAACATTATCATACTAGTATTTAAAATCATTTTTCTTGAGATATTAATGTTTATTGCATGTAACATTTTACTTAAGATCGTTTTTTCTTGAAATATTAAGGTTTATTGCATGTAACATTATATTTAAAATTGTTTTTCTTGAAATAAAAATAAAAAACTGGAAAAAGAAATATTAATGTCCTAGCCCAACCCTAACCAAAGGAAATTCAATCTGTAGAGGTGGAGCCATACATCTGGAGTGGTTAAAAGATCCCCAGGTAATTCTGTTGCACAACTGGCTTGAGAATCACTGTTCTACAAATGCTATTATTATCATTTCAAAGAGAAGGATATGGTTATTTATGTCAACTCTTTTCCAATGAAAGTATTGACTGAAAAGATCTCTCAATACTAGTTGCTGTCATCAATATGACCTTTTTTCAGACTCCACTTATAAGCCCTCGTCTACGAATAGTCACATGCTGAAGTCGTCCTGCCAGAATCTCAAGATCCCAAATGAGTTATCTTACCAGAGGTCATTCTGTACTCTAAGTAATCAACATTTTTCTAAAAAACAGCAAAGGCGAAGTAATTTTTGTTCAAGCTATAGATTTTTACCTGCAGATACTGAAGAGTAAAGACTTGAAAAATAAATTAACATCAAGGTTTTTGTAACATTCCCTACACCAAAATAATGCTTTGGGGGCTTATTTCTCCCAAACTTTTAATGAAAAAGATATAAAAGTAGAGAGAATATAAAATATACTCCCATATACTCAGCACTACTTTGAGAATTAATAACTCCTGGCCAATCATGTTTTATCTATATAACCCCATATTCAATACCCCCTAATCTGGATAATTTTGAAGCAAACTATAGACATCATATCATTTACCTAGGCTTTAATTTAATGCAAATTACGCAGAAAGTAACTTGAAAGAACTTACACAACAGGAATTACAGAAAAAAGGTGATAAAACAAGTTTGTAGCCCTGGCCAGCCTGCTCAGTGGTTAGAATGTCACCACTCGTACCAAAGGGTCGCAGGTTCAATTTCTGGTCAAGGGCCAGGACCTGGGTTGCAGGTTCGATCCCTGGCCCAGCGTGAGTGTATGCGGGAGGCAACCAATTGATGTGTCTCTCTCACATCGATGTTTCTCTCTCTCTGTCGTCCATTCTCTCTAAAAATCAATGGAAAAATATCATCGGGTGAGGATTAACAAAAAATAATAATAGTTTATAAACATAAAAGAAATATGACATTTAAAGTCTTCTCACATCTTTAGTCTGTCAGCTACCTCTTACAGGCTGATGAACACTGTGCCTCTGGTTTTGGCTAGCTTAGGTGTCACAGAAGACTTAATTTCATAATAGAACACTCTTTTTTTAAAAAAATATTTTTACTGATTTTAGAGAGGAAAGGAGAGGGGGAGAGAGAGAGATAGAAACATCAATGATGAGAGAGAATCATTGATTAGCTGCCTCCTGCACGCCCCCCACTGGGAAATGAGCCCACAACCGAGGTACATGCCCCTGACCGGAATCGAACCCAGAACCCCTCAGTCCTCAGGCTGACGCTCTATCCACTGAGCAAAACCAGCCAGGGCAGAACCCTCTTAAATAGAGTTATTATTTGGGATCTACGGAGATAAGTGAAATAACTATTTTTTTATTTTTTTTTTACATCTTTGATACTAATGACTACCAAGACAACAAATGGTAGATTTCTTTTTAATTCTTGTGCCCCCACTCCAGTTTTACTAAGGGGGGGATGCAGAGTAATTGTATACATTTAAGGTATACAGCTTGATATTGATATGTTATATTGTGAAATTATACTATAGTCAAGCTAGTTAACATATCCATTATCTCACATATAGTTATCTTTTTCTTTTTTTTTTTTTTTTTATGGTGAGAACACTTAAAATTTATCCTCTTGACTTTGACTTGGGGTCTAAACCCAGCTACTAGTTGTGTGACTTGAGATTATCCCTCATTTGTAAAATGGGATAATACCACTATTTTGGGACATTAAATGAGATAATATATGTAAAGTGGCAAGTACAACCTGGCACACAGTGAGTAATGACCACATGTATTGACATGGGCTAAACATTATTAACAAAAGACCAAAAAATAACATACTGGACAGTGGTTTCCAACTCAAAATGCCTAAATTCCTAGAGCATATTATAGTAATAATGGGTCAATCTTGCAGTTGTAGTCTAACATTTTTTCCAGTGGGTTTCTATTAAGTGCTGAGAACTTCAAAACAGTTTAAAAATACAAGCTATCCAATTAGATCTATAGAAAGATAGCTCTAGAAAATATAGTCAAAGTAAATTAAATTGCTAGTTAATCTATCCTAATTGAGTGGAATAAAAAAATGAAGTACAAACTTTGTAATTATAATACAAGATTAAAGGTCTTATTCTAGTATCTCTTCTGATATGTCTTCAGTGACTTTACCAGTTTGCTCAGAACAATGATTACATAAACACTGTCTTCAAGAAACTGTATGGGAGGTCCTTTTAAAATCAATGAAACAGGACATCCAGTCTTCATCTTCCTTCAGCTAACCTTTCGGTTAATGACATTCACTTTCTGAGAAATACTGAACAAATCCTAATCTTTAGTGCTTCCACATTGTATATATCTATTCGAACTTTATCATCAATGCAGACAATTAAAAAACAACCCCCTCCCCCTTTTGGATGCATGGTACTGTGATAGGTATGAGAGAGCATCTAAAAAGCAAGTTATCTCTCTCTTCATCACTAATAGGGATTCAGAAGTTCTACTTTAGTCTTGATATTTGGCCAAACTCTTTTTGACAAAGCATTTAGTTAAGTATTCAAAAGGCATAGGCCCGTGGTCGGCAAACTGCGGCTCTTGAGCCACATGCGGCTCTTTGGCCCCTTGTGTGTGGCTCTTCCTAAGCCTTAGGAGTACCCTAATTAAGTTAATAACTATATAGTTTAAATTTTAAAAATTTGGCTCTCAAAAGAAATTTCAATTGTTGTACTGTTGATATTTGGCTCTGTTGACTAATGAGTTTGCCGACCACTGGCCTAGGCCAATTTGAACATCACTTGTGGCATTCCTAAACTTGTATGTGATCAGTGATCTTGTGATTGTGTAGATTCCATGATATCTAACAATCTCAGTAATGAGAACAATCACATCATTCAGATTTACCTCAACATTCACTTTCAGATATAAACATTCTAGATGAAATGAACTGAAAATGTCCTTACATGTTTGTTTTATCAATCAATAGCAGAATAAAATGTTGCAGTAATTAATGATGTTTGGGAAGTTAATTTTATGTATAAAATAGTGACATATTTCAATTATTTAGCAAAATAGATTGCTACTTAATAGTACTAATATATTTAATAGATTACTTTCTCAATAACATTGTATCTTTAAAAATTTTTATAAAAATTCAAATAATATAACATAATAGATTTAATCATAATTCAATCTTTGCAGAGCTATATTATGTACTAGCATGTATATTAAAGAAAATAACATTTAAGAGCTGTATTTAAATTTTAGTTACTTCCATTTAAGTCATAAATCTTTTAAGAAAAAGTCCTATTCGGGAATTCTCCACATCTTGTAAGATGATGAATTAAAAACAATGTCACCTCAAAATACCAAGAGTTGGATAATATATATGAATTATGTAAAGAACAGGTGTACAATAATACAAATATAATTTCTAATCAAAATAATAAAATATGTTAAGACCAAACTGTTAGAGAAAACTGATGTACATCAAACATTTTGGGGGTCAAATTTCAAAATAAAAACCTATAAGAATGTCTTAAGATAACTCCTATAGTCTTGAGTCTATGAAGGCTAAACATATGAAATATAAAATGTAATACATGATCCTTTTCTGTACTTGAAGATGAATTTGAGATTTGCCTAAACTGTGAATCCTACCGCCTTCTAGTAAATACGAGCTGAAAAATGTTTTCCTAAACTATCTTTTGGCACACAAAAAGGTTAGTGATGCTATTAAATGTGCAGGTTGAAAGTTGTCTATTTGGTATTTTTGATGTACAGTATAGTGATTGCAGGAGAAATATAACAGGTCACAGTGAAGAAATTGTTCCTGTACTATAATCTTAAACTTTTCAAATCTTACTATTACTGTTGACAACATAAACCACAATGATAATTTATTTTTTGGATGAAATGATCTTCTACCCTAGTTCATTTTATGTTAGTGGTATCTGGCTTTAATCATAGGCAAATATTGATTTTACTATTTGGCCATTTACATTTGGCCAAAATGTATATTTGGTACATCTGTACTAATAGGTATTTAGAGGTCTATCTCTATGCTTCTTGGTAGAGGATCTAGTCTTAGGCTGGTTGAATATTTTTACAATGACAGTTTTAGAAAAATCCCAACTGCTCTACTTCATAATTTATATTCTCTATTCTCCCTTTATTCTTCTTATCACTTCAAATCTGTTCTACACAATTCAATATTAAATTATTCACTGTTTGTACTGTTCACTGTGCTCACCTTATCTTCTCACAGGAGAGTTTTTCCTCAAGGATGGATAATTTAATATTTCATGATGCTTCTTTTGTATTACCCATGGTGCCTAGCACAGTGCTGGTCATTTGATATGTATTTACTAATTCACTAAGATCCAAGATTAGTAACCACCTTTGGATTTTCATAATTTTCCTTCATAGTTTAAGCTATTCTATAAATAAACTAGTCAAAGCTAAATATCTCACAGTTTGAGCAAATAAAGGATTTCATTTAATAAAACACTGAAGTAATATTGTTTAGTGGTGGAGAAAATAGACACTGTATTTAGATTTAAGACACTATAGGTAAGTCACTTACTGTCTTCATGCCTTAGGTAGATCTACCTATGGTTTCTGCAAGGCAATAACACTATAGTTAAAATAACTGAGAAAAAAAATCATAATATTAGCACCAACCTGAAAGTTCGAACAAGATTTTTAAGTTGTGTGTAAATATCTCCTAATGTAATCTGAAGAGGCCCCAAAAGTCCAGGCAATCTGAAAGTAAAAAAAAAATTACATTTCTTTTAAAATATAATTTAATTATATAGTTTTTTTTGGCGGGGGGGGGGGGGGGAGGACTTGTCTAAGTCTGGATTTTCCATAGGTAATAATGGCACTCAGGTGAAGGCAGTTAAGCTACGTTATAACTGGTAAGACGTCATAAGGAAATACTTCATAATAACTCCACGACTTTGCTACAGTGTGAGGTTATGAAATATAAAAGTATCATTTTGGCTGCTATCTATATTCTTGTCTCTAGTTTTCTTATCTCTTTACTTTCAAACATTAGGCCAAATGGAAAAAAGACTAGGCAAGAGGAAATGCCCTCCAAGTGAGAGTAAAAATTGGTATATTTCTAGAAAGCAAGTTGACAATATATACATTTTTTTAAATGTGTGGATACTCTTTGATCCACTAACTTTTTCCCCCCCAAAATATTTATTCTATAGAAGTCATCAGATAAACATAAAAAAGATGCTTGCTGCAGGAATATTTTTAGTAGTACCAAAGTGGAAACAATGTTCATCAATACATGATTGGTCAAACACATTATGACATACACATATACATAATGGAATATCATAGAACGTTTAAAATGATATGTGGCCCGGCCAGCATGGCTCAGTGATTGAGCGCTGACCTATGAACCAGGAGGTCATGGTACAATTCCCGGTCAGGGCACGTGCCCGGTTTACAGCTCAATCCCCAGTGTGGGCGTGCCGGAGGCAGCCGATCAATGATTTCCTTTATTGATGTTTCTATCTCTCTCTCCCTTTCTGAAATCAATAAAAATATATTTTAAAAATGATAATGTGAATCTATTTTCTTAATGTAGAAAGATATTCATGATAAATGTTAAGTGAAAAATGCATGGAATATTGTCCAATTTTTACAAAAAACCCCATAAATATTATATAATGCTATTGTATATAATACATAGTATACATCAATGTTTCATTTCTTCCAGGTTTATACTATAATAGAAGTAATCGAAGAGTATAGATTCACATATACACATATATATCAAGGATAAACATCAAATTATTAACTATATTTATTGCTGAGTTGTGGGATTACAGGTGACTGTCACTTCTTTATAGCATTTTGTAATGCTTAAATTTTCTGCAATAAGCATGTGTTGCTTTTCTTTTTAAAACTTATTATGAAAGTTTCAAACATGTTCCAAATAGTGGTAACAACCTCATATATCTGTTCTCAGATTTTCTTACATATGCTTCATTTTTCTTCTTTCCTTTTTTTGCTATAATATTTTAAAGTGAATCCTTGACATGTCACTTGACCCCTAAGTATTTCCTCAGGTATCTCTAAATACAAAGGCATTTTCTTATACAACCACAATAAAATTATCATCGTAATTCCTTATTATTCCAAATTAAAAATAATTAATACATTAATAATAATTCCTCAATATCATCAGTACATCTTTCATTTTCTTTACTTAAAAAATGCCCTTTTGCAATTGGTTTGTTTCAATGAGAAACAAAAAAAGTTTCATTTATTTTTTCTGCTCATCCATTTCATATAGGAAGAGGACACAAATCCTTCCTCTTCAGATCATGGCAATTATAATCTCTCCATAAACACAGCCACTAAAATTTATTATTAGGAGAAAATATGGTAGTCAAATGGGAAGGAAAGTCTTACTTTTATAATGGGAAAAATCTCAACTGCTTTTATGAACAACCAACCATCCCTAAACCGCCTATGCCACCATAATTATTCTGTTTTCAGTGTCCTTTGTGCTTCTTTTTCTGTAAGTTATTCCAACTCTTCTGAAATTTATTTCTTGTGCTAATTCAATAATTTGGTCTTCGAGCAGGGGTCCTTTAGCATGTTCTGTTGCAGCCCAAACCCAGAAGGAACAGAATTTCTTCAATGACATGTCTACATGGTCTTAAATTTAAAACTGGGTACTTTTATTAGCTAAAATTCTAGGTAACTATTTTCAGATAAATTCCTTTCTACTGATTATATACCAGTATGAATAACCCATGCCCACTTTAAAAACTCTGTAACTAAATTTAAGGATTCTTCTATAAATCAGATAATGGTGACTTACATTGTTTTCTAACCTAATATTCAACAGAAATGTATAAGTATGAAAACACATAAATGGCAAAATTAATAACAGATTTATCATATATGAAGAGCCTAACATATAAAAGGCACTCAATAAATATTATTTTAAAGAGTTATTTAAAATGTAAAACTTAAAGGAAGGAGTAAGGTCCTCATAATACTATGGCTTCCAAAATGTTTTTGTTATTTTGAATAAACCACATAATTAAGACTTCTCCACATACATACCACCTTAAGCAAGGACTGAAAACACCTTTCCATCTTTTCTATTAAAGAAAGAAAATGCAGGCTAAAAAGTTCAAAACAGCTCTCATACCTCTGGAAAAAAGATTGAAAGCTCCTTTTGAAAGAGAAACCAAGGTTGCAATTTTTAAATGTCATTTATGACTGGGCTAATTACAAGAACAGTAATTTCCACCACAGGAAGCTTAAAACTAAAGTGCAAAGTTGAATTGAACAAAAACTCAAGTTGCTGAGTGTGAAAATGTTCTATGAATATGTATGCAGAGTGAGTTAACAGACTGTTAAAACTTTACAAAGTCTTATTCACATGTGAAACTGATGTGACACATTTACCACAAATCAGTAATTAAATGGGTCTAGCTTTGATATTTTTTCCCCTCTGACTCCATTGGATTATTAAATTAAAGTGAGGTAGTTTGGTTTTCTACTCTCATAATCTCAACCTTCCTCTTTACTATGTGCATCTTGTACACAAAACTTAATTTCAGTATTTCCTTGGTAGGATATCTTAAAAATCAAAATTTCTCAGGTGAAGAAATCCATGTAAACCTTTCACATTATTCTTCACTGTTCAAAATTCAATAACACCTATATATTATGAACCCACAAATACCAAGTCAACTTAAAAATATTGTAAAAGTGGAATGACAATTACATACTTACACTTTACTCAATTTTTCGAGTACGATGCGTTTTCTAATCTGGTTCTGAGAACTTGAATCTATCAGTGGAAAGGTGGGATCATGCTGAATCACATTTTTAAACAAAGCAAAATAAAAACATGAATTTACATTCTTTCTTTGATTAGAATAATTAACATTAAAATACAAAAGTTAATACCTGTGGTATGGTAGAATGAAACCTAGACTTGAAATTTATAAAATTTAAATTTGAGTATCAGTTCAGGCTTATGTGAACTTGCCTGAATCATTTGCCCACTTTTGAGTATTTTCTCATCTGCATTAAAAGGAATACTAATTAATACCTTCTTCATTGAATGAGAAAATGCATACAAAAAGACTTTGTAAACTACTAAATGCTATGTAAATGTAGGAAATTAAAAGATAAAAATTAGCAAATAATATAAATATATTATGGGGAATTCCGCTTCTAGAAATGGCAGACAAGAAATGGCAAACCACTCCTCCTGCTGAGAAGTGAAAAAGCTGGGGGGAAAAACACGTTCGAAAGCATCAGATTGCTAACAAGGCAGTAAATAATTATGGCCTGAGATTCTGGAGAAGGTAATTCCAGAGAGGCCACTGACTAATTTCAGAAGAGACAATTTAGATACTGAGAACCCAAGCACTGCTCTTCTAATAGACATTGGGGCATGCCAAGAAAGGAGAGGCACTAACAACACTCCCCAAGTTAGAGACCAGGACTTAAAAGGATCACACTCTAGGAGTAAGAATGAATAGGAAACAGACTGGCTCTTACAGGGACTGAAGCCCATCACCAAATCATCATAACTCCTACTTGGATTAACGAGATTTGGCACTGATACAAATTTGCCAGAAGCAAACATAAATCCATTCTAGAGGAAGATGCATTAGCCTGGGTCTCAAATTATCTCTGTAACTTTTAATATACAATGTTTGCCACATAATGAAACACTAAGACAATGTGATCAAAATCGGAAACATTAGTCCACAGAAGTCAATCCTCAGGGAATCCAGATAATGAAGTTATCAGTTTTATTTAAAATAAATGTTCAATATATTCAAAGAAATGACAAGCTTGAAAATTTCAGCAGAGAACTGAAAACTATATAAAAGAACTAAATGAAAATTCTATAAGTGAAAAATATAGCATTTTAAAGACTCATGGATAGATTTAATAATGTGGAAATAACTGAAGAGAGAATGCTGACTTGGATAATACCTAGAATGAAGCACAGTCACACCCAACACCCTTCTTTCCCCTCCACATAATGCAAAGCACAAAATAATGTAAGAGACAAAGAAGATACAGTGAAAAAGACTAACATAACTACCTGGAGCACAAGGTAATATTTGAGAATATTCCAAAACTGATGAAAGAAGTCAAGTCATAGAATTAAGTATTACAACAAACAAAAGAACAAATATAACCATACCTACACAAAGGATTTTAAAATTGAGGGTAACCAAAGGAAAATAAAAAGGTCTTAAAAATAGCTAAAGGAGAAAACATGATATTTGAAAAAAGAAAGACAGCAATAACAGAAGTAAATGGAAGTCAAAAGACAAGGGAATATTTTCAATGGGCTGAAAGAAAAAAAACTCTAATCTAGAATTCAATATCCAGAAAAATATCTTTCAAAGGTAAAAGTAAAAGTGAAATAAAAAATTTTGTTACAAACAAAAACATAAAATTAATCACTATAAAATGGCACTAACAGAAACAAAAGATATTCTGTAGGCCCAAGGCAAATGATTCCAGATGAAAGAAAAGAAATTCAGTAAAATAATGAAAGAGTAATTAATTAGACAAAACCAACTGAATATTGACTATAAATAATTCTGTAGAACTGAAAATATAAAGAGAACAAAAATACACAACAAGAACACATAAGTAAAGAGCAGGTAAACTGAGTTACAGTTCTAAAGTTCTAATTGTCCAGGAAGGAATAAAAGTATTACATGACATTAGACTTTAATAAGGCAAAGACTCAGATTTTAATCTTTAGAGTAACCACTTATTAATTAGCAAAAGAATGTATAAGAAGCTAATGTAGGGTAAAAAATGGATTAATGATATTTAACACAAAGAGAGCAAAATAGGAAAGAAAGAGGAACACAGAATAGGTGGAATGCAGCAAGCAACGAACAAGTGAGATGATAGGTTTAAAACCAAACATCATATCAATTATGACATTAAATGTAAATGGACTAAATCCTCCCCATAAAGGATAAGATGATCAGCCTATATTTAAAATAAGATAATCCTTGAAAATACTAATAAAAGAATGATAGTGTTAGCAAAGTAGACTTTAAGGGGAAAAATAATCAATGTAGAGAAAGGTTACTCCATAATGCTAAAAGTTTAATTTTCCAGGAAGGTATACAATCTTACATTTGCAACCAATAATGTGGTCTCAAAATATTAAAAGTAAAATTCATAATACTAAAAGGAGAAATAATAAATCCATAATTAGCCCTAGCCAGTTTTGCTCAATGGTTAGAGTGCTGGCCCATGGACTGAAGGGTCCCGGTTCCATTCCCAGTCAAGGGCATGTACCTTGGTTGGAGGTCTGATCCCCAACCCCTGTCGAGCGGTGTGTGGTGGAGAAGGGAGGAAACCAATTGATGTGTCTCTCTCATGCCGATGTTTCTCTCTCTCCCCCTCCTTCCATTCTGTCTGAAAATCAGTGGAAAAATATCCTTGGGTGAGGATTTAAAAAACAATGTAAATAAATAAGTAAATAAATAAACCCATAATTATGGTGACAGATTTTGACCTACCTCTCTAACGGATGGAATGAGCAAAGAAACAACCAAAAAAAAAAAAAAAAAAAATCAATAGTGCTTCTCAAACTTTGATGTGCACACATTTCCCAAAAAGGAAATAATACACTTGTCACCATAAACAAAAATCAATCCCAGATGAATTGCAGATCTTAATGTGAAAGGAAAAACAACATAGATTCTAGAATATTAAATAACCTGGGCTAGGTAAAGATTTCTTAAAGAAGTCACTAAAAGGAGGAATTAATAAACTAGACTGAAGACACCAGTAATGAGTGAAAAGGCAAGTCTCAGAGTAGAAGATGGTATTCACAATACACATTAACTAAAAATGGGCTTGAGCCCTGACTGGTTTGGCTCAGTGGATAGAGCGTCGGCCTGCAGACCAAAGGGTCCCGGGTTCGATTCCGGTCAAGGGCATGTACCTTGGTTGCAGGCCCATCCCCAATAGGGGGTATGCAGGAGGCAGCTGATCAATGTTTCTCGCTCATCGATGTTTCTAACTCTCTATCCCTCTCCCTTCCTCTCTGTAAAAAATCAATAAAATATATTTAAAAAAATAATAATAAAAATGGGCTTGAGTCCTGAATACATACAGAATTCCTACAGATCAACAGAAAAAAAACAAAAAAACCTACATATATTCAATAGGTAAATGGGGAAAAAAAAGACACCTCAAAGCATTTCACAAAAGACTATCCAAATGGTCAATAAGCAAATGAAATAGTGCTCAACTCATTAATCATCAGAGAAATGTAACCAAAAAGCAATGCCACCAGAATGGTGAAAACTAACAATATCAAGTATTGTGAAAGTGTGGAGTCATGGAAACTCTCATAGTATGGTAGGGGAATATAAACTGCCACAGCCATTTTGGTAAACTATTTGTCATTATCTAGTATAGTTGCATGTATACCCATACATTATGACCCAGAAATTCTAGTCCTAGATGCATACCCAACAGAAATGCATGCACATTAGCAGAGACATATATAAGAAAGTTCATACAGCAGTTCATAATAGCCCCAAACTGTAACAGCCTAAATGCTCATTAATATAAGTAAATTGTGGTACATTGCTATAATGGAATACTATGTAGCAATAAAAGAATAAAACTAGAGTTAACAACACAAGTGATTCACAAACATAATGTTGCATGAACTAAATTGGACACCAACAAATATATACTGTGTGAATCCATTTATATACAGTTCAAAATTGGCAAAACTTATCTGTGCTATTATAATAGTCATTCATTCTGGAAAGAGGTAATGGTCAGGAAAAGATATAGTGTGGCTCTGGTTTAGTTTTATCCTGGGTAGTGCTCATTTGTGATAATTCAATGAGCTACAGCATCGAGTTATACTTCAATGGAAAAGTTCTAAAACGTTATGCAACAGAGGAGCAGTCAAATTTCAGGGATTAATTTTTCCTTCTTAAGGCTTATAAGCACAAAAATGATTAAAACAAGTTATGTACTAAGATAGGTTTATGCAGCTGACAGAAATCAATGTTTCTCCATACTTAAGATAAAAGTTACAGATACTGTCTAAGAATACAGTTGAAGTGATTTCAAATACAGTACTGAGTTGGGTAATATTCTCTAGAAATATAAAATATTTCTAAATTTTTACTATATTTTCACTTTCACCTTCTTTATAAATCTCCAAATGTTTTTACAGCCACATTTACTCAGAAATCTTTAGTAACAAAGTTTTGTGGTTAAAACCAGACTATTGCCTACTCCTCTTCATATCAAATGACTTCATTTCCCAAACTACACATCAACCAAAACGGGGTATTAGAAATACTGAAAAATCTCCCTAACCCTCAGTGGCATACATTCAGTCTCCACATATAATTGCTATTTACAGAGTACCAATTATATGACAGGCACTGTGATAAATGCTTTATATATGTTATCTTTAAAACGTGTAACTATTAAGCAAGGGAAGCTACTTATGATCCCATTTACAGATAAGCAATCAAACTCAAGAACTAACTTTTCATACAGCTAGTAAATGACAGAGCAGATATTCAAATCTAAGTCTTGCCTGAATGTGCTATTTCCGTTTTCTCTATTATTTCCCAATAAGTCTCCTTTAATATATTATTTTCATTTATAATATTTTAAATGGGCATGTTTGCCAAATATTATACAAATATTTTACCATTCAACTAGTAAGTCTACTCCACTGCATACAGTCCCACTGAAAATAACACAAAGATATGTATTCCATGTAGAAATCAGAAATAATACATATAAATGAAGAAAAAACAACCTCTTCAGAGGTTCTACATATATGAAGAACTAGGTTTAAAGAAAATTCTGCCCCACAATTTGAGCCTATTTCTACATTACAGAAAAATGTTCCACATTTATGAAAATTTTCAGGGGCAAACTTCAACTTATTTGGAAAATAGTAATGCCATTACTGGAAATGGCATTTTAAACGAAAAGACTGACAAGTAAAAAAGTCTTCTGAAAATTTAACAATTATCTCCAGTATTTTTCTTCCTACTCTAAAATTTGCTATAATGAGTATTCCATATGTTAGCAACATAGAAAACTCATCACCATTAAGACGTACCTCTTCTGAGTCTTGTGATTTGGTGGTTTCTTCATTTAAAACATACTGTCCTCTATAAAACTCTCTGATCCTTAGGTTTAATGTTTCAGTTTCCTTTTTCAAGCTCTCATAACTTGGCAGTGGTTTAATGGCTGTATCTGAGGCCCTGAAAGGCAAAGACTCATCCAAGCTGTCCTGAGATTCCCGCAAGGTGGGGGAATGACTATCTGGGTCAGAGTTTATGTCATCTTCATCAAGCTCTTCTTCTTTAACCAGAGGGTCTGAAGAGGGTTTTGGACACACAGAAGCATAATTCTGACCATATAAAAACCTCAAAGTTTCTTCTGTCTTCCACTCAATCAAAGTCTCCTTCAGAACTTTAAGTAAGTTTGCCTTCGCAACTTCAGGACACACCTGCACTGAACTAGAAGCTGACCTAGAAACTTGGTTTGATTTGACAAATTTCCTCTTAAAATGTTCAGCACTTTTCTTACTTATGCCTACTAAAGTTATTTCTGAACTATTGTATTTATTTTCAGGAATTTCTGAAGCATCTAAGTTTTCTCTCGAAGGACTATTTAAAGAAACCAGAGTATTTTCCTTCTGTAAAGGAAGTTCACAAGTAGCAGCTTTCTCCTGACTATCTAATCTGCAATTGCCTAACTGCTCAGTAATACTTATTACTGCCTGTTTTTTGTCTTTTTGCTTGAAGTTAGATTTTTGACGAGCTTTCTTTTTCATGATGCTTTTTATGTGCAGCTGTTGCCTTGTACCCATTGCATTTGGTCTGTTTCCTGGTAGAATGGAGGAAACAAAGTCTTGCTCATTATCACTGCTACTATCACTATGAATGCTAGAAGAATTAGATTCATATTGCTTCTCAATATGGCCAGGATTGTCAACATCTGATGTTTTAATGGTCTTACTGCATAACTGTACTTCTTCTCCAGAATGGCCACTGTAGAAGAAAAGAAACAAACTAACTGTAACAGAAAAGCAGAATGTCCCATGTATTTACACTTTGTACCTTTCAAGGTAGGTATTTTTATTCCCTATGCAAAGCCTTATTTATAGGCTTATATAAGCCTGTACACACACACACACACACACACTTCAGAAGAAAGCTATAATTACATAATTTCTTCAGTTCTTATTTATTTGATATAATTATCTTCTTTACCCCTAATTATTTTAAAAATGTTAAAAGAGCCCTGGCCAGTGTTGCTCCGTGATTAGCACATTGGCCTGAGCACCGAAGGGTCACGGGTTCAATTCCTGCTCAAGGGCACGTACCTGGGTTGCAGGTTCAACCCCGCTAGGTTGGGGTGAGTGTGGAAGGCAACCAATTGATGTCTCTCTCTCACATCAATGTCTGTCTATCTGTCTGTCTGTCTGTCTCTCTCTCTCTCTCCACTCCCTCCTTCCCTTTCTCCCATTTCTCAAAATAAATAAATAAATAAGAATAACAGCAACAACAACAACAAAAACAACCTACTGAACTATTTTTTATTTTAGCCTGTTCCCTTCTGTTTCATATATCCTTTTTGAAAAAAGGTTTTCTTTTGAAAACTTCATTACTGGTTTCTCAAACAAGCATATATGTATGTATGTACACACACACACACATATACACACACACACACACACACACACACATTATAGGGAGCTTTGTTTAGGCTTTGAAAGATCTATATAAACAAAAAGCTAGTGACCATAACGCCATAACGACCGGAACAACCAGTTGCTATGACGCCCACCGTGGCCAGCGAACCAGCCCGATCCGGGGGTGGGGCCGGCCGGACAACCTCCCGCAGCCCCTCCCCCCGGCAGGCCTGCCCCTGATCAGACTCTCCCACCATGACCAAAGGCGGGGGGCGGAGGGGGGGGGGGAGGGCTTGCCAAACATCCCCCCTTTTTTCCCAGCTGCCCCGCCCCTGATTGCACCCCACATCCTAATAGGGGCCGGGGCTGGCTGGCCAACCTCCTGCAGCCCCTCCCCCTGGCCGGCCCCCCCCATGAGCCCTCACCACTCTGATTGGCCCATAGCCTCTCCCCCAGGCCAGCCCCACCCCCTATGGACCCCTACCACCCTGATTGGCTTGCAGCCCCTCCCCCTGGCTGGCCCTGCCCCTGATCAGCCCCCCCCACCCTGATCAGAGGCAGGGCCAGCCAGCTAACCACCCATGGCCCCTCCTCGGCACCCCTCACCCCATTTGGGGGCGGGGCCTGCTGGTCCACCACCCACGGCCCCTTCCTATGGCCGGCCCTGCCCCCAACCCCAATTGGGGGCAGGGTCCACCAGCCTATCACCCAAGGCCCCTCCCCCAAGCCAGCCCAGCCCTGATGGGGGCGGGCTGGCCGGCCAACTTCCCACCATCTCCTCCTCCCGACAGGCCCAGCCCCAATCTGCCCTGATTGGGGCAGGGCCGGCTGGACCCCACCCCTGTACGAATTCATGCACTGGGCCTCTAGTATAAATATAAAAAGAGATGTTTAAACATTTTCCAACTCTAGTTCTAACTACAGAAAGTTCCAAAGAATGAAAAACACAAGGAAGTCAGTCACAATAAAAAAATCAAGTTGGAAAAATCAACATTTATCAATGAGAGATATTTACATTTTAAACTCTAGAATTACAATATAATGCTCACAATAAAAAACAACAGTTTTCCCTTTGACTATATTCAATTTTTAGGTTTAAAAAAAATTAAGAATTATGAAAGAGTGAAGGCAAAGATTAGCTTTGTCTATACAACCTTGAGGTAAAGAAGGATGTTGAACAGTTACTCTTAAGCAAATGCAACGATAAGAACTTTAAAGATTCAAATGAGGAGAATTCTGGGTCAAGAAGCATGTACAGGGTAGTGTGTATGGGAACTCTACTTTCTGTGCAATTTTTCTGTAAACCTAAAACTGCTCCTCCAAAAGGCTATTACATTTTTAGAAATGATTTTTAAAAATGAAGAGAATGCAGCAGTTTAATAAAAGCATGTGGGGTTGGGGGTAAAAGAAGAAAAACAGAGTTGAAGGTAAGGTTGTGATTGGAAATGGAGAAAAGATGACAAGTTTATTCAGTAGTAGATATAATTTTTTAGTTAGAATCTATACTATATCATCAGGGACTTGTCTCTTGTAAGTATAATTTTTTAAAAAATAGAACAATTAAACTTTCATATATTTCAGACTCTCCCCTGGAATTTGAAGTTATTATGTTTTTCTGTACTACTTTGAGCTATAAATTAAAGAAACACATCAATAAGTCAGTGTCTCTCACTTATGGCTCAAGTCCATGTAACTAAGGTAGTGACTAATAACCAGGAAAATTTATTCTCGAGATAAAAGGACATGTTTTGAGAGATGATTAAGGCTGGGAAAGCAACATCATAAGGGGATTTTAGAAAAAAAAAAATCACAACTTGGAACCTCTATTAATGCTGTAAATAACAGATACATTAATGTTTTGAAATTCTATAAAATAAGACTATAAAAACCTTTCAACAAATGTTAATTGGCACAATCTAGTTGACAAAGCAGCATATTATCTCAGATGGAAGCTGTGTTTGAGTCATATTTCAACAGGTTCAATTAGACTTCCTTGGTAGAAAGAGCTGTACAATAAATCATACAGAGCAAACACATCATCTTACCATCAGAAAAGAAAAAGCTGTACAAGGCAAATATTTCTTTGTGTGGGCTAGAATGGGCACTAACATAATGCATCAGTACAGGAAGTCCAAGAGCTCATACCACCTGGTTTACTCTTAATGTTTCTATTAACATGAATATATAGAAGGTAAGTGATACTGATTCAACCATACCTTTGTCCCTCCTGTAGCAGCTGAAAATCAGGGTGCCTGTGACAAACACACAGAAATAGAAAATTGAAGGTAACTGATATGTCAAACACTTTCAAGTGTTTACTATAATTACATTGGCTAGAAAATATAAAGATTTTTTTAAAGAAAAAATTAAGGGATAAATTACTATGAAACTCATCCACAAAAAATCTGGATTAATATCTCTACCCAAAATTTACTAATATTTTAAAACTAAGTTCAAATTCTATGAGCCCGATAAAGGTTTCCCTGTCTAACCTTCTCTAATCACTTCCCTGTCTAATCACTCCCTTCTCTAAATTGCAAAGTATGTACAATTAATATATATTAATCATGTCCTCTTCTATGACCTAATACGAGAATTATTATCTAAATGTGTTACTTTTCATATTTAATTCTGATTTCTTAAATAGACCACAAGCTCTTTGAGGGCAGAGATTATAGAAGCTCTTGTATTTCCCTTATATGGTTAGTAAAACTTTTTGCCCTAATTTCTGAGGAAGTAGTTATATTACAGTATGGATGTAAACTATGTATACAGATTGTTTAATTTAACTTGAGGAATAATTTTGCTATTCAATAACAGAAATCACATTTGGCTGAGCATCATGATATTAAAAATGGGAAGAAAAAAGCTCTTAGGAAGCCAGATATAAAAAGGAACAAATATAAAAGCAAATGAATCCAAGAGAACAAGAAAACTGTAACATAATTCTGAAGTGACTCAGAAAAACTGCCTTATGAAGACTACAAAATGGATTAAACGAAAGTAAGTTTACAAAGAACTAAATAAATGAGGTGATATTCCATGTTTATCAACAGGAAGACTCAATATTGCTAAGATGCAGTTCATCTCAACTTGATCTATAGATTCAATGCAATCCAACCATAATCACAGCAAATTATCTTGTGGATGTCAACAAATGTATTCTAATGTTTTTATGGCGAGGCAAATACCCAGATTAGTTAACACAATATTGAAGGAGAAGAACAAAGTTGAAGAACTAACATTACCTGACTTCAAGTCTTACTATAAAGCTATAATACTCAAGATAGTATAATTATTGGAGAAAGAACAAATAGGTAAGTAGAATAGAATAGAAAGTCACAGAAGTAGACCCATCCTATATAATAAAAGCCTAATATGCTAAGTGTCCAGTCGTTTGGTCGGCTGTTCAACCAATCAAAGCGTAATATGTTAATGAATGCTAAGGCTGCTCAACCACTCGCAATGATGTGCACTGACAACTAGGGGGCAGACAGTCGACCGGTTGACCAATTGCTATGATGTGCACTAACCACCAGGGGACAGATGCTCCGACTGGTAGGTTAGCTTGCTGCTGGGGTCTGGCCAATCGGGACTGAGCGAGACGGGCCAGACACGCCCTGGAGCCCTCCCATGGTACCTCCCAGATCCAATCATGCACCGGTGGGGTTCCTTGACCTGGCCTGCGCCCTCTTGCAATCTGGGACCCCTCGGGGGATGTCAGAGGGCCGGTTTCAGCCCGATCCTGCAGGCCAGGCCAAGGGACACCACTAGTGCATGAATTCATGCACCAGGCCTCTAGTGTGAATATAATCAACTGATCTCTGACAAAGGAGCAAAGGCAACAAATACAATGGAGAAAAGGAAGTCTTTTCAACAAATGGGACTAGAATAACTGGACATCTATATACAAAAAATGAATCTGGACACAGACCTTACACTTTTCACAAAAATACTAGTAACCCAAAATGAATTACTGACCTAAATGTAAAATGCAAAAATATAAAACTACTAGAAGATAACAAAGCAGAAAAACTAGATGACTTCTTAGATCTGACACCAAAGACATGATCCATGAAAAAAAAAAGTGATAAGCTGGACTTCATTAAAATTAAAAATTTCTGCTCTACAAAAGATACTGTCAAGATAATAAAAAGACAAGCAACAGAGTAGGAGAAAATAATTACAAAAGGCATATCGGATAAAGAACTATTTTCCAAAATATGAGAACTCTCAAAACACAACAATAAGAAAACAAACAACGCAATTAAAAAATGGACCAAAGACCTTCACAGATACCTCACCAAAGAAGATACATGAAAAAAGAAAAAGAGCCCAGCCAGCATGGCTCAGTGGTTGAGCATCAATCTATGAACCAGGAGGTCATGGTTCAATTTCGGGTCAGGGCACATGCCTGAGTTGCAGCCTCGATCCCCAGTGTGGGGAATGCAGGAGGCAGCCGATTAATGATTCATCGTTGATGTTTCTATCACTCTCTCCTTCCTTCCTCTCTGAAATAAAAACATATTAAAAACAAAACAAAAAAAGAGAAAAAGAGACCTGGTTGGTGTGGCTCAGTTGGTTGGAGTGTTGTCTATACACCAAAAGGTGGCTGATTTGACTCCAACTAGGGGGTGTGGAGGAGGCAACTGATTGATGTTTCTCAAACTGATGTTTCTCTCTCTTTCTCTCTTAGCCCCCCTTCTTCTCTCTCTCTCTCTCAAAAAAAAAAAAGAAATATATACATATGGCAAATGAACATATACTAAGACATGCACCAAAGACCTTAACAGAGACCTTACCAAAGAAGATATACATATGCTAAATAAGTATATGAAAAGATGCTCCATCTCATATGCCATCAGAGAAATGCAAATTAAAACAAAAATGAAATACCACTCCACACCTATTAGCATAGCCAAAATCCAGAACACATCAAATGCTGAATTGCTGGTGAAATGCAAAATAGTAGAGCCACTTTGGAAGACAATTCAATGTTTTCTTACAATACTGAACATACTCTTACCATACAATCCACAAATTATGTGCCTTGGTATTTATCCAAAGAAGTTGAATACTTATATCCACACAAAAACCTGCACATGGATATTTATAATAGCTCTACTCATAACTGCCAAAACTTGGAAGCAACTAAAATGTCCTTCAGTAGATGAATGGATAAATAAACTGTGCTACAACCAGACAATGGAATATTATTCAGTACTAAAAAGAAATGAGCCATCAAGCTATGAAAAAACATGGAGGAAACTTAAATGCATATCACTAAGTGAAAGAAGCTAGTCAGAAGGCTATATACTGTTAATAATTCCAACCATATAACATTCTGGCAAAGGTTAAACTATGAAGACAGTAAAAAGATCAGGAGCTGTGGGGGTGTGGGCAGGGAGGGGAGAAAGGACTAGGTGGAGCACAGAGGACTTTTAGGACCTGATATTATAAATGGTGGATACAAGCCATTATACATTTGTCCAAACCCATAGAATGTACAACACCAAGAGTGTACTTTGGGTGATAAGAACATGTTGATGTAGGCTTGTCAAATGTAATAAATGTACCATTTTGAAGGAGGAGGTTGCTAATGGGGGAGGGTATGATTTATGTGGGGGCAAGAGGCATATGGGAAATCTCTGTACCTTCTTCTCCATTTTATTGTGAACCTAAAATTGCTCTAAAAAGTTAATTGTTAGAAAAAAAGAGTAAATATAAGGAAGCAGTATGCATTAAAGGGAAGCTAAGACACTGAGCATAAATTCCATTTAAAGGGCAAAATAGGGCTGCAATGAAGATCATATTACAAAAACTTTCAATTAAAAAAAGTCAAGCTAAATGGCTAGCTAGAACCAAAAATCATTTGAGTTATAACATTTAAAGACAACCAGAGAAAAATCTCAGTTACAAGTATACATACATATATAGGTATATAGATATAGATATAGATATAGATATAGATATAGATATAGATATAGATATAGATATAGATATAGATATATATCCTATCTAATAAAAGAGAAACATGGTAATTGGCGTACGACCGCTACCCTTCCCATTGGCTAATCAGCGAGATATGCAAATTAACTGCCAGCCAAGATGGCGGCCGGCAGCCAGGCAGCTTGAAACTAACATGAGGCTTGCTTGCTTCAGTGACGGAGGACTCCAACGTTCCCCGCCTGCCGCTGCAGGCCTCTGAGCTAGCAGTTTGAAACATAGTTACAAAAATAGAAGCTAAACAAAACCCCAGAAACCAGCTTTCAGCTAGCCGGGATCTCAGAGCTGGAGTTGATACAGAGTTTTGATTGTAGAACCTAAACAAACCAGATATCTGCTTTCAGGAGCGGAGGCCTAAGAACTGGAGCCTCAGAGCTAAAGCTGGCTCAGAATAAAAAGAAAAAAAGAAAAAAAGGAGCAGTTGGGAGCTTCAGTCCCAGCCTGAAAACAGCCCTCAGCCCCACACCCAGGCTGGCCAGGCACCCCAGTGGGGACCCCCACCCTGAAGGGTGTGTGACCAGCTGCAAACAGCCATCATCCCCTCATCCCCTCACCCAGGCTGGCAAGGCACCCCAGTGGGGACCCCCACCCTGATCCAGGACACCCTTCAGGGCAAACCAGCCAGCCCTCACCCATGCACCAGGCCTCTATTCTATATAGTAAAAGGGTAATATGCCTCCCAGCACCGGGATCAGCGGAGCCGCGAGGTCTCCTGGCACCAGGATCAGCATGACAGGGGGCAGCACCCAAACCCCCTGATCGCCCTGTGGCTCTGTGTGTGACAGGGGGCGGGGCCACAACCTCCCTATCGGCCCTGCTCTGTTCCTGACAGGGGAAGGCACCCCAACCCCCTGATCGGCCCTGCTCTGTGCCTAATAGGGGGGAGCTCCCCAACCTCCTGATCGCCCTGCGGCTCTGTGTGTGACAGGGTGCGGTGCCCCAACCCCCCCACCCCACGAGCCCTGCTCTGTGTGTGACGGGGTAGAGCCATAACCTCCCCATCAGCCCTTCCCTGAGTGTGAGAGTGGCGGCGCCCCACCCCCCTGATTGGCCCTGCTCTGTGGGTGATAGAGGGCGGCGCCCCAACCCCCCCACCCCACGGGCCCTGCTCTGTGTGTGATGGGGTAGAGCCATAACCTCCCCATCGGCCCTGCCCTGAGTGTGACAGTGGCGGCGCCCCAACCCCCCGATCTACCCTGCTCTGTGGGTGATAGAGGGCGGCGCCCCAACCCCTTGATCCGCCCTG